TATAATATTAACATAACTATGATTCACAAATATTGATTGAATCGAAGTCATGATGGTAATAGATAGAAAATCTATGATGAGAATTCAATCTTTATTTTTTCTTCACGTTGTCATGATTTCCATATGACTCATATAACGTTATCAGTAATGCTGATCTTTTTTCTTTTGCTTCTCTGCAAAATCATGTCTAAGTAATCATATATGTAAATACTGAGTCATGATCAACATTAAAATGTAATATATAGGCAGTGTTGTGTTGCTGATTCATCATTAGCTGTAAAATCTATTCAATTTTCTTTTGAAGCAAAACAAAATCATGAGTTGTTCGGTAATGGGTATCGAAGCCGAGCTTTTCTTTAACTGCGTTACATGTGTCTCTATATTCCTCTTACCCCCACTTGCCATAATTTTAATGTATCCAACTTTGAAAAATTTTCAATTCTGGTTAAATATTCTATTGACTCTTGTGGGATGGGTAAGATTTTGCATCTAATTCTCATGTTATCTTCATTAGCTATTTAGATTTCTGGTGTCATACATGCATTCATAATCTATCTTTATCAGAGAAAAACATACGATAATCAAAAATATCAATCTATTTGAAGAATAAATTATTCCATATTCTATCTAATATTTATTGTTTTTCTTAGCTATTAATATGAAAAAAATCTTAATCTAGAAATATGCAGATATTTGTGAAAAAGTGTTTTGATTTGTGTATCTTGTATTTAATGATATTTTTATTCATTGTTGATGCAAACCTCATCCTAGAATATGAGAAAATAAGAATTGATAGAAATATCTTGTCAATAGCGCATATCTTGAAAAGTACTACAAAGTTGTCCTTAAGGCTCTATGAAAATTTGTTCTTTTAATTAAATACTTTCTCACAAATTTTAAGTGATCCGAGAAGTCATCACTAAGAAACGAACCAAATAATATATTTGCAAAGGGATGAATTCATGTAATTTATGATATCTATGCTTGCTTTGAAATAGAAAAATTCCTATGATTATAATCAATGAAGAAAACAACATTTAAGAAAATATAGAATATTTCAAGCACTCAAATACAGAAATTAACAACTATTCTAGATAAGTTTCATATTTTTGGTCTATCAAAATGTATCAGAATAAACGACTTGATAGCGACACATCAACCGATATTTATATTTCATGTGTCATCGTTTGTGATGCGCATCGTATAAACGTCGAATATCTTAGGTCCAAATTCGAGTATTTTTAGGACCGATTCGTTCAGGGAACTGCTTCAACAAAGCTACTTGCTGTTTCAAGTAGAACTCGATGAGCTGCATCGAACGGTGAAAACCGCTTCTCAATACCTATTATAACAACCGAGGTATAATAAAATTACCAATTTTCTTCCATTGCAGCAAGTTCCGAAAAATGCAATTCTTAGACCGATCCACCTAGGAACTTCTTCTAACAAAACTCTTTGTGTTTCAAGAGCAGTTGAGTATAGGTATGAATGTGAATGTAGTTGAAAAGAGGATAGATATCCACGCAAACATACACCCATACGTCATACCTACACTCATACCCTACCATTTCTTTCGTACGGTATACAAAAAAGAGCTGCTCTACTCTATGGAGATTCGCACATTTACACATGGAATGTTTCATAAAAATCTTTGCATATATGAAGTCTCACGAACTTTACTTATCATTGGTTCACTTGAACATTCAACTAGATGCAATTCTAAAACCGTTATTTGATCTGATTTTGGCGTCAACCACTCATTTGCATCCTGCTAAACTCTTCTTCCATACCTTCGTTTGCGTAGAGATTTATTACAACTGTTCAAGCAGAACTCATCTTTCACAATTCGATTTGTCGAAATTTGTTCACATTTATTTATTAAAAACCTGTATATCAACTTCTTGGAATTCGTGTACTCATCCGATTGATCAATTAGATACATTCATTCGCCCTGAATGATATTCTCGACTCGAATCGTTACGATCACTTGACAAGTGAGAATGTGAATGTGGCTGTAGGACGTTTCTTCATCAATCCCTCACATTCTAACTCTTAGTCATAATTTTATGAAAATAAAATTTCTTTTTTTTTACGAAATTCATTGACCATTCTAAAAATAAACCGTTTTGGTTACTTCCTACCGCAGGAGACTATCTAACTATAACTTCCGAAGAGTATTCTTTAAATAATGGTTGTAAAACATCTAGTGCAAGCCAAAAAACATCACACGCTATGATAAATTTGCTAATCGTAATTAAAATAATGCTTGTTCTACTTTCTGAAATGCATTTTCTGTCATCACAAATAAATGAACCATCAGTTATAGGAGATAGCACTACTATTTAAAAAAAGACAAATATTGACTAAAACAAACAATTCTATTTTAATAATGAAATGTAAATATGCTGGTCAATTTTATTAAATATGACACATGTGTGATCTGTCCTGTTCGATGAATGAGTTTTCTCGTTTTTTCATTAGCCGGATGACATGCAATTGCATATGAATTAATAGTTTTGATTGTTTGCTTTGACTACGATCCAAACTTCTTTTCTTGAACAAGAATAAAATCTGATGCCGTAAAATGAACAGATGTTCAATTATAAAAAAAAAAAGATTTATTTTCTTATGTCTTATTACCTAACATTATTTTTTTAATCATTTAAATTTTATTAATTTGTCTATTTTTAGCTTAGTTTGATTTAATTACTCATCGAGACATACAGGCTTGAAATAAATACGACACGCCTTCAGTCTTGTTATGCGATGATACTATTACTATTGTGGGTTACAGCATATAAAAACATGTCTTATTGTATACAAGATGTTTGTTAATATACTACAATGATTCATCTCATCGATAATGTGAATAACAGAAATTGTGAAATCAAAATAGAAAATAATTTGTTTAGATTGCTAGCACAAGTTTACTAATTGAAAAAGCAGATGTCTATTCAAACTATCGTACGAAATCAAATCGATTCATTTGTTTTCTATTCTGATTATTATAAGAAATATTCGTCAGACAACAAAATGCTTTTTTTTCAAATAAACTTCTGTCCTTCATGAGCACGATACCGATATCAGTCTCGGTATCGCAAAAGCATCTATCTAACCTCAATATGCATACACAAGTAATTTAGAAGGAGAGAGAGACGAAGAAAGAAGGAAACAAGTTATAGCTAGAATGGTTATTTCCAATTCTGCTCATTCACCGCTTATGCTATCATTTTTAGACAGAAAGAGAGAAAAAAAAATACCCTACATAAACAGTACAGTATATTGACGATAGAACAAGTCTTGTACACTCGCTTGTTCCGTTCGGCCTCATCTCAACGTTAGAAAATCGCGCCGGTTGTGCGGTATTTATTTATGTGCGGGCACATCGCATTATGTATATAAGAAAATATATATGGTACCAAACCGAGAACATTGCACTTTTCTTTCTATCTTTTTTGTATAGAAAATGCGTATTTGTCTATGATGTACAACTTGGTAGCGTATACAACAGAAGTAGAAAAAGGTCGTTAGTATGTAGTATGTTTTATATTACTGGTTTGATAATCAATAGATCCAAGTGGTGAATAATTCAGTGCGAGAGATAAATTTCTAAAATATTAAATATGAATCAGGATTATTCAGGTTAGCTTAGATCCAATGACTGTAGAATGATTAAGCTCTTTTATGTATAGGCAATATTTTTTTGTTGTTTTAAGAAGAGAACAGGATGAATGATATCCTAATAATACTTCCAGAATATTCTAGACAGTGCACAAACATATCGAGCAAGAAATTGCGCATCGATGCATTGTATTAGGAATATATATACGTGTATCAATATATATTTCTATACATTTACTAATCAATTTCAGATTTCTTTCATTCCGCTTCACCGTTTCTAAATCATCACGATGCCTCGTGAAAATATACCACAATCAGCAATGAAGAAACTTCAACAATTCTTCACCAAAACACTTGGTAAAAACTAAAACAAAAACATTTCATTTAAATAATAATCATGAATGATTTTATTTACATTGATAGATACAAATAATGATGGTCTTGTTAATTGGACTGACTTTGAAGCTGCTATTGAGGTGATATTTATGACATTGTTATTTTAATGAATTAATAAAATAATGTTTATTTTTCTTGTGTTATATATGTATAGTCTATTGTATCAAAAGATGAAGCTGCAAAAAACGCTCGATTAAAAGTTTTACGTAAACGTCTTGAACAACATTTTCAAAAATATTTTTGGGATTTATGTGCTGTTGGTGATGCCAACAAAGATGGAAATATTGATTTAGGTATTTTAACATGCTAAAAAAGGTTATACTTTTTTTTTCTAAATATTGTTTTTTTTTTATTGTAAAAGATGAATGGCTTGATGTTATGAATGATATCATTGGTGGTTTAAAGGACAAAAATGAATTTCCTGAATGGTATGAAGGATTACACAAAGCTCTTTTTCGTGCTAATGAATTTTTAGGTAATTGAGTATATATAGATACATCTATTTTTCTATCTGCTTTTTTTTTAAACATTTAGATGAACGAGCTGTATCAAAAGATGAATTTGCTAATATGCTTATTTCATGGGATATTGACGAGACAAGTGCTGAAAAAGCTTATGATTTCATAACTGAACATGGCAAAAAACACATGGATTGTATGTAGAAAATAGTTGCATTTTTTTAAATTTAGTTTTCTTATATTTGTTTTAGATCATCTTTTTTCGGAATTTATGAAAAAATTCTTTCTTAATGAAATACCAAAGCACCCATTAAATCTTGGCCTTGATTAAAAAAAAGAGAGAGACATGACAAATCGTTCTAGATCCTTCTTTTTTTAATGCTCTTGAACCTAGAGAAATCAAACAAAACCTATTATTTAATATACTTATTCACTTCGCTTTACTTTGTTTGTGTGTGTGTGTGTTTTTTTCTTTTGAAATGAAATAAATGCAGTTTTTTTTCGATTAAACGGAAAAATTTAGTTTTATTCATATTGAAATTTTGATTCATATCGATTACGCATTTCAGAAAGTCTTTTCCAATATTGTAATTCTAGACTATGATGAATTTCTTGAATTTGTTCGGCTAAAAATAAGAAAAATATAAATGAAGAAAAAAAAATGATATTTTTTGTTTCGTTACTTGTGATCGTATGTAATTCATTTAATGATATATGATAAGAACGGCGAGTTTCTTCAAGATTTTTTTCATATTTCATACGTGTTGTTTGAAGAGATGATTCGATTTTACTAGTTAAATCAATGAGTAATTGTTGAAACTATATATTTGACAAAGAGAAAAAAAACGAAATAGAATTTCAAATAAAATAAATTTTTATTCACTTGATCATTAAAATTATTGATTATCATTTGAATTTCATCTCGTATTTGATGACTATATGAAAAGATTAAAGTTAGATTTTCATTGATCATGTAACTTACTCATCTAGTAGAACTTGATTTGTATGTTGTGACGTCTTAATAAAAAGAAAATGTAAATAAGAAAAGAAATATATGAGAGAGCAAACGAAAAAAAAAACATTAGAGAATAGTGCCAATTTTGGATTAGCAGTATTTAAAGGATTTTCTTATTCATTAAAGCCAATATGATTATTGAAAAATAAAGAACCTTACATGCATTCTTTAGTTTTGAAGGATCTTTGAAAAAGTAACATTTCATTATAAAGAAAATAATAAGATTAACTTAATAGTGTTTTTGATCACCAAATTTCTTTTCCAACCGTTTAGTTAAAGATCTCATTGAATGGATAAAAATCAAAGTATAGTGCACAAAGAAAATAATGTACATGTACATTATAATATTAACTTAGAAAGTAATATTTTTAAACGTATATGTAGTTTTTCTACAGATTCATGCGTTCTATATACACCAATTAGTTTTATCACACACTAATCGCTATGATGATATGTTAATTTGTTTGATCTCTGGAAACAAAGTAATGAATCTGGACAAGGAATTATCTGTTTCATGTAGATACTTAACTAGTAATAATTGAAATGCAATAACAATGTATCAAACATGCAGTAGTTTATTTGTATTTATTCTTTATTCCTTCAAAATTACTTTTCATTGAAATCAACAAAGATTTTGTTTTAGGATAATATAGCCTAAATTTATGCAAAAAAAATAATTTACTTGTATAAAATCTTGATTTGATATGGGAAGAGTATTTGAAACACGCTGAGAATGTCTTGTACTAATTGATTGTTTTTGTACTGATGAATTCGTCAGAAATGAATTCGACAATGTTGAAGAATGTATTGATGATTCTTCTAATTGTCTATGGCTTCTATCTTCTAATTGTTGTGTCGAAGGAATGAAGGATAATGTTGATGAGTAAATATTCTTTGTTGGAATTGTTGTTGCTATCGAAGATGTGCAACAAGAATCAGGAATAATGGTAGGAAACGAAAGGTTTGTATTTAACGGAGATGATATGAAACAAGAGTTTGTTGAAATAGATGATTGTGTTATCTGATGATGTTCGTCTGGATCGATTGGTTCTGATTTCATACTGAGTATTTCAATTGATGTTGTTCGTGTTATTGGTTGTTGTTGTGTTATTATACTATCATGTATTTCCGACGAAGTGCTTTCAACATTATTTACACTAGAAGACAAAAAAAAGCAAGGGGCTGATAAATAAAATAAGATTGATATTGAAATATACTTTGGTGGACTAACTGATAATGGTCTTAATGGTACAAATGGTAATGATAAAGAAATGGATTCATCTAATGATGAACATGTGATAAAATTTGAATTAGTATTTTTAGAAATAATACGATGCTGTAAATTAGATTTTCGAGATTTTTTTGTTCTTAAATGTTCTTCCGGTAAATGAGATTGTTCTGATGTTTGATTTTTTACAGGTAATATATTCACATTTGTATGAACTTCAGGTATTGATTCAAATGTTTCAACAGAATCAAGTAATGCATCCATGGATGATGTGACATCCGATGTAATAAGATTGGATGTGTGTGGTTTACAATTAATATATTTTCGTAATAATGCTTGAATTCGTAATTTATTATCCGTAGGAGATATAGATCGAAACTTAAATGGAATTGATGATATTCTAAAAAAGATATTCATATTAAAAAAAAAAAACTTAATAAAGTAATAAAAATAATCTTTAAGTTTTACTCATTATCATTTTTAGTGTGACTCAATATATCAAAGACATTTAATGTTGATTGTAATTCATTAGCTTCTTTTGAGCAAAGATTTTCATTGATATGTTTATGCAAAACTCGTTGACGTTTAATTGATTGTTGATGGTGATATGAATTTTCATTAGAACGTTTAACAGATTTTTTTTTATTTGATACAGACGATGAATCATGAATAGAAAAACGTTGTTGTTTTGAACGCTTTAGTGTTGATTGAGATGTATGATTGCTATTTGCGACTGTCATATAAGAAGGTAAAATAGAATCTAAAGAGAGAAAAAAAATTAAAACAAAAAAAAATTAATAAAACAAATGTTTGAAAGACTTGAGATAAAGAGAAACCTTGACTTCAAGACATAACACACGTTCCTTGTATGAAAAATATTTTTGTTGATCTTACATTTATGGAAATAAATTCAAAGTGAATAATTGCAACTGAAATGATACATGAATGCTGAATTATAGAATTAAATGCAATCGAGAAATCAGAAACATCAATCAATCTGCTGGCAGCTCTATTACACGTTTTTTTTTCATTGTGAAATAAAATAGACATCAACCTTCTGTGAACATCATGAAAACTATTAATACAAAAGCGTTTACTATGCAAAGCTGTTAAGCTTAGAAAGTTGATGCGTGGTTTTCTGTAAAATGATGAAAATTGTCTAGAGTATATGCGTCTACATTAGTCTCAAACAAAGATCTAGTGATTTAATCTCTTTGTTCATCTAATTGCTGTGGCTTAAAAGATTATTCAACTGCAATACGAGTTTTGATTTATTTTTGAATTAATATCGAGTCCAATTAGTTTTGATTGGAATTCAGTAATTATTTTTTTCATGTGTACAATAGTGAGTTCATAGGTAAAGTATACTGAGCGGTAATACTCATCAGACCGATGAAAGACAGTAGTAAGAGGTAACAAAAATACGTTATATGTGTCTTCATATATTAGAGTGCTTATAATAACAAGAGAAACCCGCAAAAAAAGCTAACTTAAATGAAAACATGATTCTTTAAGGATGCACTGAATCTGATATTTTTTGCCTTCTATAACAACATTTATTCTCTATTTGCTACAGTTTAACATAGAAGAAAATTTAATTTCATCGTTTTTATTCTTTTTTAAAAACCATGCTTAATCAAATATACGTACCATCGATAATTGAAACGAATTTAAATGGCTTTATTTTACTTAATAATGTTTGTGGAGGTGCATATGTAAAATGTCCATAAAGTTTTTTTAATTGATCAATATGACTTTGTAATTCAGTAAAACTTTTTTCCAAATTAGTATTGGATTTTTTCTTTTGGGAACCTGGATATTCTTTTGATAGAACAAAACAATTACGAAGTGGTATCCATGCTCTGGAGAAAGAAAAAAAATACTATGATTTATATAATTTTCATTTTATATATCGATATACCGATCATGTTGACCAAAAAAACGAACATCAACTTCATCATTAACAATACGTAAAACTTTAGCTGGCCATGGTTGATAACTTTGCATTTTCGCCCAACATAATGTATGTGGAATAGAACATGGTTTAGTAAACCAATCTGTTGATATAGGTTGTGTACTACGTAAATAACATTCGAAACAAAGTTCAATTTCTGTCATTTCATGGCGAGCAATTCTAAGAAATGTACGTGCAATATTAGTTAATTTACTTTGATCTAAATATAATAGGATTTCATGATTGCTTTCGTCAATTTTCAAAGATTATACTTACTTCCATTATAAATAATACTATTATGTACAATCCATTTAATATCGTTGATGAATGCTTCAGTTGAACAATATTTTTTTAAATTTATATTTTTTTCTATGGTTTCCAAATCCATTGGATGAATGATATAATTAAAATATTCTGGTATTTGTTTATCATCGATTGGTCGCAAAAAATGTTTAGCCTTGAAAAGAAGTCAAATATAGGTTAACTTTACTAATTAAAGGTTTTTTTTTCTTACTTACTTGAGGATGTGATTGCAATCGACCAAGAGCATATTTAAGCATTTTTTGAAATTCATTTACTGAATGATGTTGTCGTGGCGTTGATTGATTTATGATATAAAATGATGATTGAGTGACCTAAAAGATATATTGAAATGTTTTTTCAGAATTCATTTAAAAAAAAGAAAAGACAAAATAAACTGAACACCTAAGCCGATCTATTTATTGGTTGTTACACTTACTTCATAGAACAAAAAAAACACTTTCATGTGATTTGATTATTTGAAGACAAAAAAGACAATCATCAAAACTAAAAAAACATACTTCACATTCTGCACATGTCCAATCTGCTTCAGGTAATTCAGCTAAACCAAGACATTTCAAATGATATACACGTGGACATGAATCACAACTAACAACATCTCCTACATGATGACATTCAAAACAATAAATATCATGCTGATTATTCTAAAATAAAATTTAAATAAACATAAATATATGAATAAAAAATTTTTTCTCTAACTTCATCTGTTGAGTTTTTTAATTTATCAAATGAATTATGATTATTGTGTAAATCCATAGAAATTATTTGTTTTTAATTTTTATCTAGAAATGTAATTATTTTAAGAAAATGAAAAAGTGATTATTAATATATTAAATTTATCAGTAAAGTATTCTTCATGGGTGATACTTTTAGATAACAATACATTGGACGTCTTTTTTATTAATATTCGAGTGATTATTGTACTGTCACAGTCTACATCGATAGGAACGGATACATTCTTGCATACTTTGTTTCGTTGTGTTGCCTTGCCCACATGCGTATAAAGAATGACAAAAAGTCGTGCCTCGTATGCAACTTCAGGGTAAACAGAAAAGTGGAGAAAGAACGAAAAAGAAAATGTGTCAGTATGAAACAGAATTCAACGTTACATTTACGACGAAAGGTTCCCAAGTGTGACGCTCGTTTTTGAATCTGATATCTGTCATTTTGTAGAGTACAGTGACTACAACATGTGATATGAAGGGTTCGTCCACATACTAGACTTTTAAACAACTACGAGATACCCATAAAGGATATCCCATAGTAACTGAGGATAAATTATTAGCAACATTTTTCATACTTTATTTGTAGGCAGAGAGCTGAAACTTTTATCACATATATATCTAACTAAGATGTTTTATTTCTGAAAGCTTCAGTTCTCTAGCTATAACTAGTGGTGAAATACATCGACAAGGTTGAAATTCATAAATTTTCGTATTTGATTTTTGCATTATTTTCAGCGACAACAATGCAAAAATTGAGTATGAAAGTTTATGTATTTCAATCTTGTCGATATATTTCACCACTAGTTATATCTAGAGAACTGAAACTTTCAGAAATAAAAAATCTCAATTACATATATATATATATGACAAAAATTGCAGCCCTTCTGTATTGATGCGCATAAACTAAATTTAACAAGTAGTTAGTTTAATAGTTAAAGGTTACAAAATTTCGAATTTTCAAACATGGAACCCGGGTTTCTGCAAGAAAGCTGGTGTTGTGGCACTCAGAAGACTGCAACTGTGTGTTTTATTTATGGGATATGAATTTAAGCATTTAAACTGACTAGTTTTGAAAAATTGCTCTGTGTACGTCAACATAGAATCATTCATAAAGTTCTTTTTGTCTTGTTCTTGTCATTCTCTTACATGACAACTAAAAACTTATCTGTGTAACATTACAGATCTATGTTTTTTTTTTACTTGATAACAAGTAAAATTGCTTACATGAAACCAACAATAATACTTAACAATAGTATTTGCTTATCTTATCCGTACGAAAAAATAAATTCAAGTGAATTTTACCCACTCGGTAACTTGTCGTAGTATCTGGGTCTACGACGAAGGCTACATCTCGACGTGTAAACCACCGTCGTTTACCATCGTGATCATACATGTTTCTGTTATATAAGAAGATAGATGATTTGACGATTCTCAATACATAGTACTAAAAGTTTTTTTTTTTCATACTGTTCATTGAGATGCCCATGTAATAAGTCCAAATAACTATCACCGATAAACTGTCACTATATCAATCAGTATAATGGCGCTATACCGGCGACTTTTTTTTCTGAAAGTGTTATATGGGTGTGGGTGTGTGAGAGTAAGACTATTACTTACACCCATACCCCACATAGCCACACCCCACATCTACACCCACCCACATCCACATCCACATCCGCCCACATCCACACCTACATCCCACACCCACACCCATCACCACACACCCACATCCTATCGTTTCATTTGCTAATATTTTCAAATTTACGAATAATCTGTTTTTATTCAAAAATAATGAAGGGTGTTCGTTAATTTTTTCAGCAAAGTCTTCATTCACCAAGTATTTTCCACATCAATATCTTTTTTGCTTATCGAGTCAAACAATGATTAAATCTTGATCATGATTGAATGGTTTGTATACATCGAACTGATTTATACGACGTCCAAGCAGTTGTGGTAGCCAAACTGAATCTACTTCGTTTTTATCGCATAGAGAGAACAATCTAGATGATTATTTATAAAAATTTTGATTACAAACACAATTGTCTTTTAATATATTGATGACCGTTAAAGGCATCACATATTGTAGAACTGCTTCAGTCTATTGAGTTAGAAAGAGATTTGGTTTAACTTTCGTAAACACTGTTGCAGTACATGATTTCCTATGCACACAGTGTAGGATCTAAAATGTGAGTGTTTCCCTTCTGATGCTATTTATAGTTTTGTACAAGAAAGTTTGACGTCATTTTTGATTCTTACTCACACACGCTTTATTCTTGAGAACTAAGTGCATCATGCTTTTTTTCTCTTATTTTCTCGATTCCCTGCAGTGGTTTTTTCTTCTGTTTTACCTTCTTCTTACTTCCTTGGTGAGCGACTGGCTAGTCACAGTCATGATTTTGAGGGAGTACGTGTTGCTTTAAAGGTGGAAAAACCGACATATACACGATTGTCTGATTTTGCATAAATAAAAATGCTTTTCAAACCATTCAAACACGCTTTGTGACCGTATATTAGCATCAACAGAAGATGTTGCCGATAACTTTTTCAATGTTGAGGTGCCTGTCATATGTTTCAATAGCATTTCAGGCATTGACTAACTGATCAATTGGCCATAAACACTCAGTTTTGTTATTCGATTTATTAATTTTATTTTGTCTGAAAAAAAGGTCTTACAAGGAAAGTTACGTGTATACAAAGCAAGTACTGGTTAATTTTGTGTAACACCACAGACAACTAATAGAGCAACGACTCATAGATGACAACAGTTTGGCAATAGATAAATCAAAAAAAGTGCAGCGCTAAGTCTAATTTGACGAGCAAGGATGTAGATGCGCGTGTGGTTGAGTGCACCTTCTACTACTTCAATCCACATTCAAATTAATACCTACATCTGTACCACAGAAAGAATTTTTTCATAGTGTAAACAAAACGAAACAGAAAGGAAGTTTTGAAATGCATATATAAGTCAAAAATATTTCTTTTTTTCACATTTTTTTCTTCATCACTACAAATAATACCATAAGAAGAGAACAAACTAAAGTTATGTTTCTTTACACTCTTATTATGCTTCTATGGTATGTATCTTTTGAAAAAAGCCAAATGACAACTCGATCTTTTTCTTAGTTCACTATTTTTCTGCACGACAGTTAAGAGCGAAAATTTCTGGATTAACATTGAACCTGTCTTAAATCAGCTTGATGATGTCATTGTTTCCGATTCAGCTCCATCATTAGAATTGCTTAATGTCTGTTTCAAAACACTTACAAGAGCATCAATCGTTCTTCCTGATGGATTAGAAGATGTTATTAGCAGTGATGAATATGTTTTGTGTAAAATGAGTTTAATATTGTATCGTATTAAATCTGAAGAAATTGTTCGAAAATTAAAACAGTTATCATCAAAAATCCAAGATAGTGAACAGGGTTTTCTTCGTGATGAATTTCGTGTCACATCTAGTGAACGAAACGCTGAATATCTAGTTCAAGCAACAGAGTATTACTCAGCAGTTCAATTTTATCCGAACTCAAATCGTATGATGAAACTATGTGAATGGAAGGTCTACAAATTACCATCATCATTGCTTAATCTTACAAATGAAGACGTAGCAAAAGCAAAATTCGTTGCACAATACAATTTAGAAAGAAGTCACTCTGAAGATGGTACACCAACGTATATGTTTGGCAGAACAGATATTGAGGATTATGGACATGTATCAATTGTTAATTATGGAACAAAACCTGGACCTGAAATAGATGGATACTATCGCATGAAATTGCTCGTAATTAAAGATTTAAAATCATTGAAAGGATTGCCAGTTCTAGCGAGAACAATACGCAATCAAAAAACTGGAATCAGTACTGTTATAGTCTATGGTTTCAATCGACGACTTCGAGATAGTCTTGGTCTTGAAGTTGATAGTGATATGTTGTATGATGATGATAAAGTGATGAAATTCGATATGAAGACAGGCCAAAACATAGAAAATTCGGATTTATAAGATACTTGGAGTTTTAGCTTTGCACTTTTTTTGAAAGAAGAAATTGTTTCTTCTTTGAAATAGCATTGTATTCAAGAATTTTTTAAAACTAATTTGTGAGTGTACATTTTCTCTTGGATAAGACAAATATGTAAATCGAAACTTTATCTGCTTGAAAATGAAGTCTTTAGCACGTTGGCGCTGTAATGATTACGTCAAACTTCCTCACAACTAACTTCTTCCTTGAATCCATTAGAGAATATGGTCTTTTCAAACAGTTTCAGATCACCAATAGCACCGCTTACCATGCCCTTCAGAGTTGATTTTATTTGCATTCTTTATCAATGTATGCAATGTTATCCGAACGCCGTTTACAATTACAGTTTTGATAAGCTAACCGTTGACAGAGGTGGGATCGGTTGATACTTTTTTTTTGAATCCAACCAGACTGTATACTTTGAATGTGAGCATGAGATTGCTAGTTTTCTCCTAATTCGTAGCCATCGTTCACTCGCACTCACATTAAAAACTCTCTCAGTTATAACTATCAACGTCTGTGTTACAATTAAAGTGTTCATATTTCAAAATATCCATAAATGAATGACAGTTTTTTATATATTTGCAGTGATTCATCATCAATATTATAGTTTAATAAGTTTGAAATGCCTATCTACGCTACTTTCACTTGAAAAATCAATAATTGAAAGCAATGATAGACATCTAAATTCAATAAAATTCAGTGATGAACACGTAGCTTAGAATGTTTTATCATCAATATTATATAAACAACACCAAAACATTTAACTGCAAAATTAAATAAAATTATCATTCAAAGATTAAGGAATTTTCTTGAAATATGCAGATTGCATTGCATTTAAATTATTCAGTTATCTTGAATGGAAGTTAATTAGATATTGTCTTCGTTGTAATACAAGCACAATTATTTCTACTTGTCAGATAGTTTTTATTAGTGATTCATTTGATACCATAATCAATATTAGTAACGGATCACACATATTGATCAAAAACAACACAAAATATTAGAGATATGTTATTGAAAACTGTATCGCCGAATATTTGCTCAACTAGAAAAACCCTCGTACTTATAACGTATGTTTCTACGTTCTAAAACATGTTTGTAATTCAACAGTTTGAATATTGATGAAGCCAAATGAATTTTCGACCATTATTATGATGAGTGTAAAAGTCTGTAAGCTATTCAATGTTACTTTCAACTAAAAGAAAAGTTTAATTATGAAAAAGCAATGAATAACTATTACTTCAATCGGTGAAACTAGATGACTTCTCGTCAAAGTCGAGAATGTAAAAAAAGGTACGAAGCATGAACATCGGCTATGTGAAATAATCCAGTTTTCGAAAAAAAACTAAAAATCAATTATAGACTCAAAATCGAATTGTGTTTTTCTTGAAGGTATTTCAGTTGCTGAAAATTAGACTGATTTTCTGTCTTATCTTATCGTTACGACTACGAGCCGGAATAAATGTAAGATAAAGTAGATAATATTAATTAACTAAATAAATATTTTTCATATAGAAATAAGTGTGAATACTAGAACAACAGTTGATGCTAATTGTTTATGCAGTAAGTAGGCAATGAGAGTAAAACCGTGAGAAACAAAATTTCATAAAAAGAGACTGTTACTTAAAGACAAATCAACAACCTAACTTTTTCAAATGAAATGCATGGTTTTTGGTTTAAATAGCTTTGTCATCGATTTTTGTACAAAGTGTGAAAAAAATGGATAAAAAGAAGCGAACAGAAAAACAAAAGAATTTCTCAAAATCTTAGCATTTTGTCCGTTTATAGAAAGAACCTAAAGTTACGACTGAAAAAAAGCTAATCAAGAGTCATCAATTCTATTCAAAATACAACATTTTTTGATATATCTGCCTAGTTGAAAATTGCTAGGTAGCGTAAAGGTAGCTTACGTCCATTAATCCTAATAAACTCTGCGAATCCTATGATTCACTATCACCACTTGTCCAAGGTGATGCCAAGAAATGCTATACCTTGTTCTGTATTTTTAATAAAAATCATCAATGCTACTATCTTGACATAAATAAGTCACTAATCATACAATTTGTCACAATTTTAACATATTTTGTGTATTTCTCAAGATTTGTATTTTCGAACGGAATTGATTTCAGTTCAATTGCGATGCATATAGTCAACTGATGAGAAAAAATATCAAAATCATTTTTTGGTAAAGATCGAAAATCAAGAGTATTGCATTGGAAAAGAATGATGAGATGATTGTGAAAGCAATAATTGAAGCTATATGACGTATGCAAAAAATATTCGAACATATTAAATAAAAATTTGTTAACATAACTCTTGCTTCACCTTCACCTTACACATAGCAAAGTGTTTGTGTATGAAAATGGATAGACATCGAACAGAATAATATTGTTTTCTCTTCCATTCTCTGATGACATCATTTTTTTTTGCACCTTACTGCACGTTAGAGGGACTACTGCAATTATAACACTGCCGAAAACATCCAGACCAATCAAATAAAGTGAGAATGAATCATTTTCGCTGAATTGTCACGTATGAGGCAGGAAACTATGAGGATCATATAATTTCGAGACAAATGATGACATTTCAATCGGATCAAACAAGTTTCATATGACCTAACACTTTATTTAATAATATTATGACAAAATAGTTTAGATTTGTTCGTAAAAATGAAAATACAACTCTGGTGAAATCCTATGCAGTATGTTCAGTTTGCATTACAGATTTTCTCTTTAATACATATTTTCTCCAAACAGTGAATGTATGCAGTGCTTTTGAGCCAAGAACACCTTGTCCACATTGCAAAGTATCAAAACAAAATGTTTGATGATCTCGTCCAACTGGAATTTTCAAAGAATGAAACGAATTCGAGGGTTCAAACTCAACCATAACTAATCGCAACGAACTGCAGTCCGAAGACGTGAACTGAAACAATGGCTCGATCAATGGTGGTGTGGTTCAAGTATAGACACTGTTTTCATGGTTGAACATTAATTTCTTGGACTATGTTTTTGTACTGAATATACGACAATTTTAGACAAGGGTTACCTGAATTTTAGCCGACGGAGTTTAAGACTTCTGACCTCATGAACCTCTTGAAATTAAAAACCTAATTGTTTTTAGTTATTTACCAGATATCGTAGTGCTGAGCAGCAGGCCAAAATGGGTGTGAATGTCATTTAAGAAAAGATTCAGATCCAAACATTCACATTCCACACGTGCACTTCACACAGCGAAAAATTTATTTCATACAATTAATAAGAGGCAATAATCATAGATTAACAAAAGAAAAGAAACTTGAGGACATGCAAAGCAAAACTGTTTTATATCAATGATCTTGTTCTGGCATATCGTTATCATCTTCTGTTCATGGTAACTGGAATGTTACGATGAACTTGGCTTCGCTCATGCTATTCTCCAATCACATACCTCTATGACGAATACACTGCCGAACTACCATGAACGAGGTATGCCATTCAGTTCCCTGATAATATTCATTACCAAACATTTGCATTGTGTTCTTTCTTTCGCGATTTCACGTTCAACATCAACGCGATCATGCAGATTAGAATTTTCGACTTATCTTCAAACATAGCTCTTGACCAAATCTTTCACCCAGTTCAATAGAGGATATCTGTGCGTGTGCATGTGGGTCTTTTCTTTTGTTCGCACACACAAGATAGTAATGGAAGCGTTTGTAAAAGTGTTAGTGTCTGCAAGACTGTTGCGAGATTATTAGGATTTCATCTTTGTTTGCAAGAGAGTAGATAATCTTTTAGGATGATCGATGAGTAAAAAATGTAGTAAAAGCGTGAACTTCACTGACGGATACCAAAAAGTTTTTAGAATTGGGAATGAATGTGAGGTTACCACTAGCACTTCCTTCCACTACCTCGATATTTCTCAAGTGTCTGTGTTCAATTGTAAATAAGCTTTGTTCATATATATTCATGGATCAAATCGTAATATATAGAGCACTATAAATATATGGTTCTTGAGAAATATCACAGTAACGTTGATAGGTGAGTTTTTCAAAAGAAAAGAAGATATCATAATTCACCGAACGAAACGAGCTTGAGTAAATAACAAAAGCAAATACAATAAATTTTATGTAAATAAGACGCATTTAAATTTAACCAGGTGGTAATGCTTGTAGCGGACTAACCACCACTCGAAGCACAGGAGTGGAATGTTCTTGTTGTAAATCATTCTGTCCCGATGTAGACATGTCTCTGTCATCCAAAGTCAATTCTTGCATATCATGTAAATTTTGTTGTTCCGACCGTAATCGATGTCTCCACACGCCAGTCAATATTAGACGACTGATTTCTGGACGATCATTTGTATTTTCACAAGGAACTTCTTCAACCTCTTTGATCATTTTGATCTAAAATGACAAAATGAATGAGATCAGCACGATATTAGAAGCACATCTGATAAATTTCTAGTATTTAAATTATTACTCTGAAAAAAGTCTTTTTCTTGCTTTTTATCATTCAATCAGAGGTATCACCGCCGTAAACGCTATGTGGTCAAAAACAAACTTTTTTTTATTGTGCTCAAAATGTTGAAACGTAAGGTGTTCTTTTGATACATCACTTTTAAGGATATCTATACGAGGTTAATAATATCTATTGCTTTCTAAAGTTATAAGAAATGATTCACAAGATAAACTATTGCAAAACTCATACAAGACTAGGCTATATAGTCAAATATCAGTTCTCACATGCTGCTTTAAAAATAACTATTGTTGGTAAAGTTTTAAGCATTGTGAGAAATCGTGACATCATAAGAAACAAAGTTTTTTTTTCACATAATTGATCTAGATCTGTCAATTTGCTAATAGTTTTCGTGCGCGACACAGGGTTAGATAGATAATCGAAACCTGCATCGGATACAGTACGCCTACACCTATGTCTCCTTTCATATTTCAATGAGTATATTTGAAAAATGAAAGTTAACTATCGAACTTCCGAAATATACCATCAGAATACAATCATCTTATTATTCGGCAAAAATAAACCAATTGCTACTAAATTACTATAGGGACTTGATGAGTTTCAACGTTTTGAGCCAGCCAACGGCTATTATGAATGAGTAGAAGTAAGTGTTCATCTGTTGAATCTGATGCGGTTTTTGATTATCTATCTAATTATCAGTCATGTGTCAAAAACAATTCACAAGTGACTAATCTAGATGAATAAAGCAGGAAGATTTTTTATCGATGATATTATGATGATTTATAAGGCTTAAAATTTTAGCAACTGTATTCATATGTAGACCAGCATGTCAATGGGTAATATTTTAGTATTTAGAGTAGTTTTATATGGATTTCTCAATAGTTTATCATCTGGATTATTTCGGATTAGTTTAGAAGACAATAGACGTTATTAACCTCGCGTAGGTATCCTAAATGGAAATATTCCTCAAGAACGCGTTATATTTCAGCATGTTAGGCACAACAAAAAACATTTCTTTTTGATCACATAGCCTTTTCGACGGCGACACATCTGACTAAACTATAAAAATCAAAAAAAAAGATTTTTCAGAATAATGATTGAGACATTAGGGGTTCACCTATAGGTTTCTATACCTCCTCGTTTCTGTTATTTTGCAGCTGCTCCTTGATCCAGGTGCGAAATTCACCAGTAACACGAATTGCACGATTCTCATAACATCGTTCTGCTTCAAAAAGAGCTATTTGGAAATTGAAGTTGTCTTTAAGTGAAGACAATGGAATTGGTATTATATTCGTCTGTTGCCAGCCAGTCGCGAACATACGAGAAAAATTATATTTAATGTCATCTGTAATATCTTCGTTTTGAATAAAGACGCATCGGTTGTCAAAACTGGGTTCATGTTCGTGAGCAGTGTCTTTTTCTTGCGTGACCATTCGTTTACTCCAATCATCCTCAATAATTCGTTCATTTCCCACAACATACATACGAATAAAGGACAATTGTCGGATAAATTCACAAATCTTATTACGATGCTGATATTCAAACCAACCTGTATCAATATTTAGCATTGTATGACATCCATGTAAACCCGTATAATCTTCGAGAACACAAACGACTGGCGAAATAATTCCTAAATTCTTACCTAAAAAAGAGTAAAAAAAATTAAACATTCAACGAGTATGATATGTTGAATGACTAAAGAATCAAAAAGCGATAGCACATTGTAAGAGAAAATGTTTTAACCATTGCACTCATTTTGTTCTGTAATTTTTAGAAATTCGGCGCACTCATCTCGAAAAATCAGACGTAAGATCTTCAGATCAGATCTGATATTGTATGATCCTAATAATAGACGAAATCGTACCCAGGGCGAACAATCGGACACTAAGATCGGACAAGATTCTGCGTCTGATCATATATGATCTTGTACGAGTTGGTATGAATCGTACAAAAAAAAACCGTAGTCTCTGAAATCTTACATCAATTCTTATTGTAAGATTCTTGATAGATCTTGTTGTCTTGTCAGATCTTACAGGAATCTTATAGTAAGAATTGATGTAAGGTTTCAGAGGCTACGATTTTTTCTACGATTTCATATGATTGTACAAGACTTATTGTCAGATTTTTTGACCTGAGTACGAAAAATCCCCAGGTCAAAAAATCTGACAGTAAGTCTTGTACAATCATATTCAATCGTACAAAAAAACGTGGTCTCAGAAATCTTACATCAATTCTTACTGTAAGATTCTTGTCAGATCTTACCGTCGCATAAGATTTTCTATAATCTTACAGTGAGATTAGATAGAACAACAAGATCTGTCAAGAATCTTAGAGTAAGACTTGATGTAAGACTTCTGAGACCACGATTTTTTGTACGATTTTCGTCTGATCTTGCAAGGTTATACAAGATCAGATGAACGATCATGTAAGATCTTACCATCTGTTTGTTTAACCTGGATCCTAGTGTCTGCAAAACTTATATCAAGTCTTAGCATGCGATTCTTCAAGATCGTACAGATAATATGATGTTGGAAGAATCGCATGCCAAGGTTTGATATAAGTTTTGCGGACACTATAATTTTTTGTACAATTTTCGCCTGATATTATAAGTTCACACGAGATCAGACATAAAGTCTTCTAAGATCTTACCATCGGATTGTTTACCCTGGCTATGCGTTTATTTTTCCGTTGTGTAGCAAAGTACGCATAGAAACTTACAGTATTGCAGTAGATGCTCTCTAGCGTTCATCAGGTTTTCACGACTTGTGTTCAATGGAATTAGTAGTATATGGCAGGGATCAGTCTACAAGGTTCATGCATTTGTTCTGTAGTGATATAGTGAAACTCTTGACATACCTTTAGTTTGCTAGAATACCATTCTTTCATCTTGATCGCTTGATCATGGTAATATTTTGCATTCTGTTCATCACTAGACATACGTGCTTCGTCACATTTCGTTTCAATAAATTCCAAAATCTCTAGTGTAACCATCCCTGTGATCAGGTGTTCGGTGATATGAAAGACTTTGGTTTCATTTTCAGATGGAACAGCATTTGTATTCCAGCAGGTAAAAACACGAAACACTTGATCATTTTTTGTCATCTTTTGGACAAATGAATCGTTGTGTATACCGATTGAATTGAGAAGAACAACGAATAATTTGCAACCTCCTGCTCTCAGTATCAGTATATCATCAGCAAGCTTTTCGAATTCGACAGCATCTGTGTTGGACACGAAATGATAACTCACCGGTAATCGTACATTTTTTCTTGCCCTTTTGATACTTTCTGGAGAGCCGATCACAACCACTTTAAATTCATTTTCCATAC